GGACAAAGTATGCAGGAGGAGAAGCATGGCAAAGTTGAGATGACTTGGATGGGAAACGAATCACACACTGACAAGAAAGTTAAGTAAATCACAGTAAAAGCATTACAATGTATTTTAACCTCCAAATATCCTGAACTGTTTTTCAAACAGGCTGTTATTAAAAGAAAATAGGACACTTGACAGTGGGAAATATGGTCCTGTCTGAACATTGTTTAACCATTCATRATAAAACCCAAAGACCCTCTGTGACACCAATGTCACCACGGGTCTTATGGGTGTAATATGTTTATTTTTTCTCCTAAAATGATACAATTTTTGAATATCAAAATTTGGCTTTTTTTAAAAAGGGACTTTTGATATTTGGAAGTCATTCACTATTTTTATTTAATRTCCCAACTTTAGATAACTCCTTCAAACTAGTGCATAAACTCATTAGAGTGATGTAATATTGATTCAAGGAAAAAGACAAAAGTTGTGTTTTTTTTTCTCACCGTAAGGATCATCTTCCTGCCTCCCACCACTCACAGCTCCATCTGGTGAAATCCTCAGGTGATAACCTCCGTTCTGGCTGTACAGCCTGATCAGGGGGTGCTGCTTGGACAGGTCTGCAGGAGAGGAGCCGAACGGCAGCACCGTGACGTCTCCCTCAAACATCCCACGTCGAGTGTGAGGCATTGATAAAGCAGAGCGATGTCCCTGGGAATGTAAAAACAGAGGAGGTTCACTCACTGTGCCTGGGACAGGAGAGGCCAAAGGAGGAGAATGATGCTGCCTATCGTGTCCTCCTATTGGCTGTTTCAAACGGGCAGTGATAAGGTTTGCGAGGAGTCACACCTGGATTATATCCAAAAATCAGAGCCAAACAGCAACATGACAGGACATGTCCCTTGATTTCCAGATGACTGTGATGTAACTTTGCTCTTGAAACTGGAGCAAAGCTGGTCAGCAAAAATAAACAAACACTTTGGAGATAACAGGAAATTTGCAGCAATGCTTCAAAACCTTGCTGGAAATGTAACTAAAGGTAACAGTTTAGCATTTAATAAACTATGTAAAGCTTTGCAATCTGTTAGTTATCACATCATGTTTGAAGCCAAATGTCTCACTAACACCCTACATTCTCAAAATTCCTTTTGCTTGTCTGCCTCTTTGAGTGCGTCTCCTTTTCAGACCCACTGCTTGAGCATTTACAGCCTGGAGAGCAGAGATCCCATAAAGTCTGTCCTCTGAAATGGAAAAAAAAGCAGTTGTGGATGTAGCCAGCAGTGTCTGCAATCATTTGTAAGCAGAGGTACAGCTGTGACAGCGCCAAGTGGAATGTCTTGGATGAGACAAAAGCAAGGAAAGAAAGATGAGGGAGGAAAGTAAAGGCTACAAAAGGAATGTATGGCCTAACAATCCACCTTCTAACAGTCTGGGTTTTCCTCAGAATCCAAAGGGTAAAGTTGTAGATATCAGCTGGGGGCATATGCTGGTACTTTTGTACAGAGCGGCAGGTGGGACTGACGTCAGACGTCCAACCRGTGTCAGAGTGCAGATGTGTGGGAGGAGAGATTCATGTATGTATTAGAGAGGAAGAGGAGGGGGTGAACAGAAAAAKATGTTTGGCTTAAAGTGGAGTAAAGTTCAAACAAGAGGTTAGTGGAGGCTCAAAGCAGCAACTTTTTACCTTCTTTGTCTTTAGTTATAATCAGTGCCTGCCTGTGGCGTAGGCAGTGTAGGCAAATGCTAAGGGTGCCRTTCAGCTAGGGGACGCCACAAATACAGAATGATAAAAATAGAATATAACTTCTAATCAGAGTTGATTTAGTCTGTAGAATAATCACTAATTACTCAGGTTAACAAAGGCAACATGTTCTGTGGGTTTCTCAGCTGATTTGTTACTACATGGGGTTATATGGTGCAGAAGATGTTGGTAACAACCCAAGTGATCCATACATACAAAGAAATCAAACCAAAAATGTCCAGGAATGAAGTTATTTGTAATAATGTGGAATGGCACAGGGAAAAAGTATTGAACACATGAAGAAATTTATCTAATACTTTGTACAAAAGCCTTTGT